CGTAAAAGCTTTTGAGGACTTAGATATTTGTTGTTGGCTTCTACTGTTTTGGGCATGCTGCTATTGATGTGATATTTTATAGATGATTGTATGAAATTGAGAAGTTTTTATTACTGTGAACTATGATTTTATTATTGCATTACGATTTTATGACCAACAAGTATTTTGGAAACATATGTTGTAATGTTTGCGAAAAGGATCTTGACATGTTATCTAAATGCTTAGTTTTGAAAAGTCTTTGCGAGCACTTTGTAAGTTGTCCTACTGGGGCTACGGACCTCCGGTTTTCTTATAATTTATATGCACGCGTAGCCCCAGGTGTCTAGTTTCATTATATATAAACCTTGCAAAGAATTTCTGAAAGCTTGATTTATTATGAATTTTACCAGCCAGGATGTTTGTGATATTTTCACTGTTTTATCTCTTATTTCGCGAGTTATGTTTCGAGGGGCAAACGAACTCCAAATCACTATTATTTTATATGAACGTGAAGCCCCTGATGTCTAGTTACCAGATTACAAAGAATATTTTTTTAATCGTTGAACTGGATTTTATACGAATTTTTGAAGACAGCAAGGTCTATGAGGAAATTTATATTTTTAGTAAATTTAAGAAATTTTGCGTACTCTGATTTTTGTAATTAACCAGATCCCCTCTTTAGTTTTAATTGGCAATGTAAAAGCAATTGTTTTTCAGTCTCTAAAATACTATTTAAGAACTCTAATCCGCTTAGCAAACAACTCTCTTGGAGGCCTACAAGGGAGGGTGTTACACTAATTGGTATCAGAGCAGTTTTGATTCAAGGTGTCTGTTTTTAATGAATTGTTTGCTGTTTGTACTTGGTTGTTGAATGATTGTTGCTTGAATATGTTGGTTGTTGGCATAGTCACCGAATTATTACTATTTGTTTATAACTGTGAATTGGTTGTCTTGCTGCGTGTTAAAAGTACATTGTTTCACTGCTGATATTGGAATGTGATTATTGAATTGCTTGCTAGCTGTTGTTGCCTGATCCCTTGTGCATAATGGTACTTGTGGTATCCGGTATTAAACATGGTTATGCACACCTCAATGCAAGGAGGTGAGCCTGATCAACTCACTGACGCGTAGGGTGTGTGTGCACACTCATGGTTATTCCGGGATGTACTTGCATCAGCACACCGTGTGAAATATTAAATTGCTGCTTGCATTAATAGTTAATTGTCAATTCTATTCTCCATGAAATTCCTAAGATTGTATCCCTGTCTATGCTTGAGCTAATGTTCAAGGAAGTGATGTTTTGAACCGTGCAGAATTATTGCTGTTAAATAATTGCCTTAGTGAATTATGACATTTTCTTGTATGGCGTGGCTGTTTGTATAGTTGAATAGTAGAAATTGTTACTCTCCACAAATTCTGTTTCGGCGTAAGTAGTTAATATGTTCAAGAATAGAAGCAGTGACGTAATTCTGAAAATTGATGTAGGGATTGGTCATAAACCTAAGTAGTTTCGGTTAATCCTCTTAGAACGTAGAATTAGTATTAATTAAGACTTTCACATGTGGGATCACTGTCCGTACAAATCTTCTAATGGTTAATTGACACTAGACATAATTCTTGAGAAAGAAGCTGTTAAACAAAGTGAGTGATATTTGTCATTCTAGTTCTTACGTGTTAGGTTGCCTTGTGTGATGTAACTATTTTAAACTTGTATCTGGTTATATTAAGCTTTCTTTTTGGTGACTGTTGAAGTTGTGGGTCTAGATTTTAAACGTTGCAAGAATACTGCATGAACAAATAAAGAAAGATTATCTGAATTAAATTTAAAAATATACTGGACTGAACAGATAATTGTGCATGCTTTGAATGATTTCATTTCACTGAGTCTTTATTTTATTTTGTTTCCTTTGGCTGATTCGTTAACTTCATCTGTGTGCTTTCAATTTTTGTCTCCTTCTCGATGCCTTGTGAAACTTTCTGTTATCAAATATCAAATTATCCAACGAAATAAAAATGGAGAATCATAGAAGCCTTCCTAGAATTTAAAGTGTTATGCTGTCATGAATATTAGCTATCTCTATAAAAAAATTATTTTAAAAGGGTGCATCAAGTTTATATCATGAAAGAACCGTGCATAGCTTCTTGGTATGCGTGATTTCCCTTGAGTTGATTTTCGGATTTGTCTAATTTTATTCTACAGTCTATTCAACCCCCTGTTATCTTTACAATGACGTGTCTATCCTAGGTCTTATTGAATTTTGACTTGACTAGAGTTATAGAACTCGTATGTTGTCGAATTATAAACCTCATGTATAAAAAGGGAAGAAATTTTGCGAAATCAAGTAATTATTGATTTTTGGTAGTACCTAAAGACAAACCAACGGAAGTTGAATAAGAGAATACGTATATGTGTTACTGCTTTATTAAATTCATATTAAGAATGAAAATGTGCGTTTACAATCATGTTATTTTTGGAGATCCATAGCTTACCTTCATTATGACATGACTATTTGTAGGGTGATGTACCACTATGTCCTGATATTGAATTGTTATTGAAATTATTTCTAGGACATGCATTGAAAGGAAAAATTTTATATATTAACTAAATATTTGCTAGGAAGTACGCTTAACACGTTGTGCCTCATAGTGGCTTTTGAATTCTGTTTCTGTACATCCCTACTACCACAATTATGTTCCACTCTAGGTTAACATTCATTAATAAGAATTTTCTTTACTTTCTGTTCACGTTTGCTGTGAACTGTTAAGTTATTTGTAGATGTCAATAGAGTTAGTACTCACGAAATTCTCCTGATATGACTGCATAGTACTTGAGTATCCAATCTGTAAGTTGAGCATGGATATAAAAGTAGAATTAAACTGGAGTTTCTTAACACTATTAAATTATGATTTAATATGCATGTTGTGTCATCTTTAACCGTGATTATACTGTGTGAATTTCTGCTTAAAAATTTGAGTTGTATTATGAGACACCATATGCATTGTGATGGTTTTAGGATTGGTGTTCTTTATTTTATGTTAGGCACGAGGTTTTGTATCGTAGATTTTATTTTTAAATGCTAACTTAACTACAGCTAGAAACCTTGAAAGTAAGTATTGTGGTCTTGAATTATGAAAACTTGGTCAGTTTTAGTGAGTTATGTTTGATAGCCATGTTGAGATTGCAATGTGTGTTATGAGTGGAAAATTCATATCATGATTAATTGGATTTAAGGGAAAATTTAATTTTGAAATGTCGAACCTTGAACTATGCTCATATACTATATGTTTGTGTTGCACTGAAATTTTTCTGTTTGGAAACTGAATGTGACACTTTTCTGTTAAAAGAATAATTCCGAAATAAATCATTCTTTTACTTAAAACATCTTGAATAACTCAATTTCTAGAAGTAAGCTGGTATGGAAAATTTTCCATCCTTGACTGTGGTAATTACTAGTTGTCTAATTGTTTATTACTTGATATATGTGTTACTCGAACTAGTACCACGAAGAAATTTTCTGTTACTTGCATCAATTGTGGAAATCTAATGGGAACGCTGATTGCATGATGTGAAAATTAAAATTTTTGGTACGCGCGTTTATTTGGGTTAGCAGCTGTTTAATAAAAAGAGAAAAAAATTCGTTGTTTAAGTTTCTGGTTTATTGGTCTGATGTTTACTTGAAATGTGTCAGTATGTCGTGGAACGTTATGATTGTCTTTAAAATATTCTCATTGCACCAATATCTTGCTGCATGTTGTATGTGAATAGGAAGTTGTTCGAATACCTTTGAATTGTTGCTGTACATGTATAGGATTTTGTTTGTTCCTTGTATATTAATTCCATTATAACTAGGAACTTTTAACATAACTATTGAGAATGCACTCTATTAAGACTTTGTATATTTTGGTGAGTTATGTAATGGTTGTATTGAAATTTTTCTTCGTGTACCAATAATTGAAATGCTCGTATCATCGTTGATGGATACCCTGATCAGTGAAGTCAATTACATCTGAGGTACCTAGGACAGCGGAAAGCTCGAGGAAGTTCCTCATATGGGTGTTTTGACGAACTTTATGAGAGGTGCCATTAACATGACATGAGTAAATAATCGGATAGAAAATTTGTGATTAAGATCCTTTTTATTGAAATGTGGGATGTAAGGCGTTGTTTTGGTTATTAAATTTCTTGCAAGATTATTAATGTGGAATTTTGTTATGATCTGAATTAATAAGATCGAAGTCTGAATAGGAAGTATGTGTGAGAGTATGTCATCATGGTGCTAAGTGTTAGAATTAGACAAATTTTAGGATGGTAAGGCGAAGTTTGGGGACAAACTTCAAAATTTGGTGGGGAGAGTGTAACATCCCGCAGATTTAGGAAATTATATAAATGTTGCTTAGGAACTTAAAAGCTTGTGTTGAACTCGAAATATATATATGTATATATTTATTTAGGGTGGACTTAATTTTAATTCATGAAAATTAGGTTAATTATAATTTTAAGGGAATAAGTGTTAGGAAATTTAATTTGTGAGCATGCATGCTATTAGGAATGAGAAGGAATAATTCTGAATTTTTAATATTAAATATAAGTATGTGATTTATTTTAGTTTCATGAACAAAACCTTTAGTGATTAATTAGAGGGGGTATAATTTGGTCAGAGCTTATAAAAGAACCTTAGTTGACATCTTTATAGTTATATGAAATATTAAATAGTAGGATGAGATTAATTTAATCGTAACATATTATGATCATTTTCTTTTGGTCTAAAATCCCTACCTGAAGAACATCCTCATCATGATACCCTTATCCCTTCATGCGCATGGCTTGATCCTGATTGGCTTGTTATCTCATCTAAATCTCATGGTTCCTTGCATCCTTAGGTAACCATAATTAGCATTATTAAGTTTTATCCCAATGAAAATATTATGGTCAGCATGCATGAGATTTTATTGGTCAAAAAATTCTGCACTCTGTTACTCCGTAATTATGCGCTGGAAGGGAGCAGCAGCATAGTGAATCCAAATCATTGTCATCATATCAATCAGCTTGCTACCTCTACTCCTTTCCCTTAGGAGCTGATTGTAGGAGTCTCTCTGAGTGTACATTATCTTGTAAATCAAAGACCCAACACTCGACCCTCATCTCCTTCAAAAACCGTGAGTACAACAAGACACCATGAAGAATACACAATCTTAGTTGCATGTCCTTCTCCTTCATCCCCACTCTTAGCCGCGAGTTCCTAGGGACGAAACACCCATCAAGCCTCTTCCTTTCTCTTCCTCATTGTTTCGGCAGGATGCAGCAGCCAAAGGGAGTACATCGTGAAATCATCAACCGTCTTCTTTCCCTTGTTCGACCGTGGGTCAATCCCAAGGAGGTATTGTATATTTTGTTTGCTGTCTCCTTGCTTTTTTTCTCCTTGGACCGGTTTCTGAGTAGGCTCTCCATTTTCTTGAACATGGCACTGCCTTGAGTGAGTCGCTCTCCTATCATGTTAATTAAGGGAATAATTTATTTTAGTGATTTCTCTGGTTTTGATTTCTGCTCTCTGAACCACCCTTGGAATTGAGGTGTAGATATATTTAAATCTAAAGCTGAAATTGGTGAGGTAGCAACGTAAATTGGACCATTCTTTTTATAAAATATACAGCCCGTATGTTTTGAATTCAGTGAGAACAATTAAAGAAAAAAAAAGAATGTAATTTTGTCCCTTCTATGCTATTCTTTTTGATCGGCCTTTGCATGTAAATTAAGAGAAGCATCTTGTGTCATGTTATTATCTGTTTCTGCCTATGGACAGCTGGAGAACCGTGAGCCTGCATGTAAGAATGAGTCACATATCCAACTTTAATTGCCCTTAGGTGTTCGGTCTTCTTTGGTTGGTTAAGCAGATGTATTATTTTAGAAATTCCTTTGGCCTTATTCTGTTTTGTTTAAACTGTCCTAGGAGTTTAGAAATGGCTTTCATTAATTCTTGATGGAGTGTATCGTGAATTGGGAAGATTAATTAAGTGTTTGCAAGTGTTAAAGTTTTGGAGACAGCATGTAGAATTTATTTTTTTTCTTTTCTTCATGCCTAAATGACGTGATTAGAAGTGGTGTAGGAAAAAGAGTGAGCACCTATTTAAGGGCTTAGAAACCAAATCAGTATACCTATGGACCTTGAGATGATGTCAATTAAGAGAAATTGCTAGAATAAATTAAGGGCAGCAAGCTATCGACCTGGAAGTATGATAACTCAGTTAGAATCTTTGAATTTTGTTAACGGTCTACATAGGCAGTGTGCTTTAAGCCCTTTTGCGCACCTTACACCTTATATGAATTAACATGTGAATGATAATAGGGCTCTAATTGTTAGTCAAATCCGAATATGCATGTATAGGTAATTGAAATATTTTGTTATTTGACAACAATTGGTAGGACAACTTAAGGTAGAAATATAATTGAGGTAGAAAGCATGAAACCGAACCTACATGCATGAAAGATATTAAATTATGTTACTTATTATTTATTGGTAGAAATAAGCTCAAGGTTAAAATAATTAAATTAATATAATGGCAGAAAATTCGCTTAGTATATAGACCTGGAAACTGATCACAAATCAAGGACTTGGGAGAATGGGAAAGCTAGGCATTTCATAGGAAATACTTGTGATAAATTCTGACTTGGTACATATGTTTGTTAGGTGTGCTAAACTCTAATTGTGAGGGCTGATTGGTGATGTTTAAAAAGAGAATGTTAAAGACTTGAGGTAAGTGTTAGGTGGTTAAACCTATTGTGACTATTAGTTTAGATTATGGAATTTTTGATTTGTTGTTCTCATAGTTCCGTAACAAGATTCTGTTTGAAGGCATGTGAAATCTGATTTGAATATGACTTGAGGAAGATTCTGCTTTGTATACACATGCTATTTGAAAGTATGATGCATAGTCCATGTGAACTATGACTGATGATGAGGAGCATGAATATCATAACTTTGCATCTTATCATGTGTGTGTGAAGCAAAACATAGCATCTCATGCATCCATCTACATACAGTTTTGGAAACAGAAATATATTATGAAACTAATAAGCATACGTTTGAGCACGCATCATCTAGGCATGTCGAAGGTACCCGGCAAGAGCACCCTGGCTCCGTGCGCATAGGTTCCTTGGATATTCAGTTCTGTGAGCCTAAAAGAATATCACTTGGAGTTCTGGTAGCATGTGCACCTTAGTGCTATGGACATGCGTTCTGGCGTTATTTACGCGCTCTGTTTAGTACTTGGCGTTATATACGCACTTGATTAGTATTCTGGCGTTATATACGCACTCTGATGATAAATAATATCGGTTCAGAATTTATTCGATGATGTGACAATGTTGGAAATTCTGGATTTAAATTAATATTGTTGCAATATTGGATTTTCTGCCACAATACTGGGATTTTTCTCACCCCTTTGGGGCTGCTATTTTTACAAAATGGCAGGAGGACTTAAAAGCTTTTGAGGACTTGGATATTTGTTGTTGGCTTCTACTGTTTTGGGCATGCTGCTATTGATGTGATATTTTATGGATGACTGTATGAAATTGAGAAGCTTTTATTACTGTGAACTATGATTTTATTATTGCATTATGATTTTATGACCAGCAAGTATTTTGGAAACAGATGTTGAAACGTTTGCGAAAAGGATTTTGACATGTTATCTAAATGCTGAGTTTTGAAAAGTCTTTGCGAGCACTTTGTAAGTTGTCCTACTGGGGCTACGGACCTCCGATTTTCTTATAATTTATATGCACGCGTAGCCCCAGGTGTCTAGTTTCATTATATATAAACCTTGCAAAGAAATTCTGAAAGCTCTATTTATTATGAATTTTACCAGCCAGGACGTTCGTGATATTTTCACTATTTTATCTTTTATTTTGCGAGTTATTTTTCGAGGGGCAAACGAACTCCAATTCACTATTATTTAATATGAACGTGAAGCCCCAGATGTCTAGTTTTCAGATTACAAAGAATATTTTTTTTAATCGTTGAACTGGATTTTATACGAATTTTTAAAGACAACAAGGTCTACCAGGAAATTTATATTTTTAGTAAATTTAAGAAATTTTGCGTACTCTGATTTTTGTAATTAACCAGATCCCTTCTTTAGTTTTAATTGGCAATGTAAAAGCAATTTTTTTCAGTCTCTAAAATACTATTAAAGAACTCTAATCCGCTTAGCAAATAACTCTCTTGGAGGCCTACAAGTGTAACAGCCCGTTGAACACCGGTATTGTTAACATTAATTATGATATTAAGCGTAGTTACAATCACAACAGTTCGTTTATAAAAATGCGAATAAACTTTTTCCGATTATTACGCGAGCATTTAAAACATAAAAAGACGTAATAATTAAAAACTGTGACCGTAACCGTAAACTCTTGCGGAAGACTTATTTAAACTATTTTTATAACTTACATTACTTATTATAAGTTACTAAGGGGTTCCCATAAACCCACTTAGCCAATTTCCAAACTTTACGTTTTTACCTATTCGGACATGTTTCACTCTTAATTTTTCTGCGACCACACCGCTCCCAACCAAACCTTCTTCTCGGATTATATCTTTGTCTTACTTAATTCCCTTTTTAGCAAGCTATCATACGCTCAGCTTATCCCTCAACTTGGTACACAACAGAATGCCTACACAGAGGACATTCCCAATCACTTATAATTCAAACAATACATGCTAGTTTACAATTATACATGCATTGAACCAATTACATACCTCAATCCACTTGGTCCAGGACCAAGGGCAACTCCCAGATTCAAGTTTTGGGATTCAAGTCAACGTACGACAACCTATACAATTACGTACATCCATCAGTACGCGTCAAATAGCATCCAAAACGCAAAATCACAAAATCCTCCCTATCCTCCCTTGATGGTTCGGCCATTCAAGTGTTAAATTGAGATTTATTTTTCTAAATTTTCTTTCTCATTTTGTTACGCCTCATTAGGTTGTCAATAGGCCAATTCAAGTGTCGTTTCCTCATTTTCGCATCGGATTACATCAGAACACGAAAATCGCAAAATCCCCCCTTTTCTCCTTGAAGGTTCGCCCATATAGGTGTTATTTGGGGATTTATTTTTCTAAATTTTCTTTCTCATTTTATAACACCTCCTTCGGTTGCTTAGAGGCTAGTTCAATCGTCGTTTTTCCGTTTTACGACATTTACGCATCGTTTTGCGAAATATTTCACTCTAGGCTCATTTAGGTCTCTAAACACAATTCATTTTTCCCATTGATTCAAACACTTTCCAACCACAACACAACCCATCTAAGTACCATATAACTACACCAATCATCATCCAAATCATTTTTCAACATCAATTCCTCAATTTTTCCTCAAAGGTTCGAATTTTGCCCTATGACATTCCAAGGAATTTCCATTCAATTTTAATCACTCCAACCTTCACACAACCTATTATAACTACATACCATCATGCCACAATTCATCAAACAAAGTCTCAACACCAAAATTCACAAGTCCAAAGTCATGATCATCAAATTTTTCTACCAATAAATTTCATCGCATTTCTAGCTTTAATACATCATTCTAACACATTATCATCTAATACACATTTTCAAATTGAGCTCTCTAACATCACAATTCATCAATTCAAAGCTTTAGGTTTTCAAAACTCAATCACAAGAATCAACCAATGAAAAGGTGTAACAACTCACTCAGATGCTAGACAATGGGCTCCTCCTACACATACTCCACCATTGGAGCATTCCAAAACTCCATGAACACAAAATTTCTCCTCCAAGTCGCGGCTGAAAATGGGAAGGATCTCCTCACACACACGATTTCAAGGCTCAAGAGTGGTACCAATGGGTTTAGAAGGTTCCCTCCAACAAATTTCAACACAAACTTTGTTGAATTTGGTGAAGAAATGAGTGATTAATGGAGAGAAGAAAAATTTGCATAAAGATGAAGGGGGAGGGGCTGAAACTCGGGTTTGGGGAGAGAGAAGGAAGTGAGGGTGATGATGAATAGTGGAGTGATGAGATGTTTAAGTGACTTTCAAGTGGGGTGGGTCCCACGCCACCTCACGCGATTCAAAACGCGTCAAAACTCTCACTAAACGTCCGTAAATTTAAAGCCTATTTAGAAACTCTAAATTTTAACATTAACTATTCCACTTTAATTAGGCTTGATCAGATGAATTTGGAGTCCTCCTTTCGTTCGGAGAAAACACTGTTTTTAAGCTATCGAGCGCGCCGTTGGCACGCTTCCCCAAAATGACTTACTTTCATCAAATTTTATCAACAATCATATTTCCTAAATCATTAGACCATTTGTAACTCATATTTGAAACCTAGAGCTCAAAATTCAACTGGCACGTTTTACGGTGCAATCGTAACACGGTATTTTTACCCGCGAAAAACACTATTCACTGATTTTTCTGAAACTTGCCTATCCACTCAATTTTTCGTTCTGAACCCATTTCTAGGGTTATTTTTATCATCTGAGACCTTCTACTCAATTTTTATCTTCCTAGGGTTGCGTGTTGGCTAATTACCGTTTTGTCCTTTCTTTGTATTTTGGCCTAATCTTTAGGATTTTCACTAATCCATCACTTGATTGCTCACTTAATATTTTAATTACTTGATTTAAAATTGTGAGGTGTTATATTCTCCCCAACGTTTTACAATTTTGTCCGCAAAATTAAATCATACCTGTCCGCTAACTCAGGATATAGCCGGATAATCTCATCCTCCCGCTCCCAAGTAGCCTCCTCAGGCGTACGTCCTTCCCATTGAACTTTAAGCATTGGAATCACTTTGCTTCTAAGCTTCTTTTCACTACGGTCAAGGACCTCACTAGGACCTATAGGAACCATCAAATTCTCTCTGATTTCAATGTCGTCCGGTATCACCACATGTGATTCATCCGGAATATAACGCCGTAGCTGCGATACATGGAAAACATCGTGCAGATTTGACAACTGTGGGGGTAAGGCAAGCTGATAGGCCACTGGTTCTACTCTTTTCATTACCTGATACGGCCCAATAAAGCGAGGACTCAGCTTCCTCACGCGCAATGCACGTCCAACACCGGTAACTGGAGATAACTATACAAACACATGATCACCTTCTTCAAATTCCAGCGGTCTGTGTCTATTATCATAGTAACTTTTCTGCCGATTCTGTGCCTGTTTAAGTTTTTCTCTGATCATTTCAATCTGTGCTGTAGTTTCTTGCACAAAATCCGGCCCAAACCTCTCTTTATCGCCTACCTCTGTCCAACAAGTAGGAGTACGACATCTACGCCCATACAATGCCTCATACGGTGTCATGCCTAGACTGGAGTGAAAACTGTTATTATAAGAGAATTCTACTAGTGATAAATATCTGTCCCAAGCAGTGCCCTGCTCTAGTATACAAGCTCTCAACATATCCTCGAGTGTCTGTATGGTCCTCTCAGTCTGACTATCAGTCTGCGGGTGATACGCAGTGCTCAGCCGAAGCTGAGTGCCAAAAGCCTGCTGCAAGGCTCCCCAAAAACGAGAAGTAAACTTCGGATCCCGGTCACTCACAATGCTAACCGGTATTCCGTGGAGCCTTACAATCTCTTTCACATATAACTTTGCCAATTTCTCAGTAGAAAAGTCCACTCGCATTGGAAGAAAATGTGCAGACTTCGTAAGTTTGTCCATTATAACCCAAATCGAATCATGACCAGCCTGAGTCCGAGGCAAACCAACAACAAAATCCATAGAGATGCTCTCCCATTTCCAATCTGGTATGTCTAATGGCTGAAGTAACCCTGCCGGTTTCTGATGTTCTATTTTAACCTTCTGACAAATCAAGCACTTTGACACATATTCAGCCACATCCTTCTTCATCCCAGGCCACCAGAACTTAATTTTCAGATCTTGATACATTTTTGTGGCACCCGGGTGTACAGCAAATCGACCCTTATGGACCTCAACCATTACCTCTCCTGCTAACTCCTTGCGCACTACAATTCTGCCTTGATACATTAACAATCCCTACTCATTCACAGATATTCCACTCTGCCCTTTCAAATACTTGACACTGTCGTTCTGTACCTGTGTTTCTTTAATCTTCTCATATAATTTATTTTCCACCCGACAGCTCTCATGCAACCCATCTGCAACCCGTGTAGTCCAGAATTCATCCACACTCCCAATAAAGACATCTGTCAGCTTCAAGTCACGGAATTTCTCAATTAATTCATTATCCCATAACATCAACTGGGACACGCTGACAGACTTCCTACTCAATGCATCCGCTACCACATTAGCCTTACCCGGATGGTATTTTAACTCAAAATCATAATCTTTTAGAAATTCAACCCACCTCCGTTGTCTCATGTTCAGCTTTTTCTGATCAAACAAATACTTTAGACTCTTGTGATCACTGAACATAGCAAATTTCATCCCATACAGAAAATGCCTCCAAATTTTCAAGGCAAATACTATAGCAGCAAGCTCCAAATCGTGTGTCGGATAATTCTCTTCATGAGGCCTCAACTGCCTCGAAGCATAAGCAACAACTCTCCTTTCTTGCATCAACACACACCCCAAACCTTTCTTGGAAGCATCACAGTATAATTCAAACTCACTTTCCGGATCGGGGAGGGTCAACACAGGAGCAGTAG